GTCGATTGCTCAAAGGCAAAAATTGAGAATAGCAGATTGATTTGCATCTGAGATATATAGATCTATCTGGTTTTATTTTTTATTTACCCAAATAATCTCAAAGCGAAATAACAATTTTTTTTTAAATAATGTCTTAGTGGATAATTTTCCGTTGTGAATATTGTAGAAATGAAATGAAATGAAAGAAATATTTAAATAAATAAGTACTAGTTGTCTAAGCAAGACTGTATGCCAGGATCTGGCCATTTTCATTCAAACCTCACAATGATGACTAAGCATATAATTGATAAGTTGGTTTTTTCCTTCGTTTTGAGTATTACGTAGATTATTACCTTAAGATTTTTGAAGGATTATTTTCCAATTTTTTTGTGACAACACCAATGATTGCCTCTACTATTTTCTAATTACTGTCAAGTACAATCAACAAAAAACGGAAGCTACCTGAGCTACGTCAAATAGCATGTTGTTGTGGACAACAAAATATTTGTTTTTGCGTTACTGGTTTGTCATGATCGGATGATAGGACGATTGTAAGGTAGATAGAAGAAAAGGTAATAGTCATATAATTTCAACAGATAATTTTTTTTTCAAAGGCGCATTAAACGTATAAATTTATAATCGTTTTGCACTTATGTTTAACAGCTGTGATACTAGGAAAGAAAACAGTAAGCTTTGATCGTGTCGTGGCTTCGAGAAAAAAATGCTGTTTCATACGGTTGAGCATAAGTTTTAAGAAGTCATCTAAATGTTAAAAGACCTTTTAATTGATACAATATTTCGTGTGGACACACTTGAATAATTTTTGCGAAGAAAAAAAAGTATCTATGATTTTTTTTCTCTTTTTCTCTTTTTTTCTCTTTTTCTCTTTTTCTCTTTTTTTCTCTTTTTCTCTTTTTCTCTCTTTTTCTCTCTTTATGATAAAGTAAATAAAGTCTACGCATATCACTGCTAAAACACACAAATTTTTATTTCCCAGTGTTTATCCTTTCTTGCTTGGAATACAAGTTTGATCAAACATGATTTACTCGAGCAGAATCATGGTTATTATTATCATGGGTGCAATAGGGATTGCAACTGCAGACCCTCCAAGTGGTATGTCTTATCCAGTAGCATCGAAACTTTATGCACCATTAATAAACTAATTCATTTCATAGTGCTCACACAATTGAGTTGTACCGATATGATATCATCAAGTCGTTATTATTTCTCTCGGTTACAAGATAAACGAAAGCTTGATGCTTTGATCGTAGCGGACGACAATGTAAAATTTAGCTTGCAAATATGCCGATGCACGAACTGAAATGATCTAAATAGTTTTTTAATATTTCCCATCGTCTATTGCTGTGAAAAAGATATGTGTGATATAGAAAAGCGAAAAGCATCAGACATCAAAAGGTGACAGAATATCGAAGAGACAAAAAGAAAAGACAAAAAGTCTCGAATGAATCAAACATGTCGAGTCAATACAGTTATAAAGAAACAATTAATGAATCACTGGAATAAAATCTTGAATAATCGAGCTTATTTTTTCTTCAGTTACAATGGTCAAAAGTGTTCGATGTGTTTCCCTGTCTGATATGACAATAGAAAAAATGCATCAGTAAATCAAAGTATCTCCTTTATTTTACAGGATGGCTCCGGGATATCGATTGAATCGAGTTCAACCATCTGTCCAGATGTAAGGATGAAATCTGAAATCAGTTTGATGAAGACAAAAATCATAGAGTAGATAACGAGTAGTAGATAAACTGAAAATAAATTTAAGAAAAGACCATAAAGATCAGAATTTATTGCTCTGATTCTTGAAATTTTGCTGAGAAACGCTTGAAGAAATTTGAAAGTATTTCTATCAGGGTAAGTATATCGACATTCCACGACTTTGGCTTTGAATGAACATTGTGAAACAGGTAGACATGCGTGAATAAAAGTACAATTTGTACTCTAGAAACCATATGACAACTATGTGACGATTTTAGATAAAAGAGATGCCAGCGCTGATCGTATTACATTTTATTTAGCTTCCTCATATCATAAATCGCCTTGTGTACATATAAAACACTCGTTTATATACGCAACTAAGAGAGAAGAGGAAAGAAG